ACATCAACTCAATATAAATTGCAAACCCTCGATCATCACGAAATTTACGATTAAGCACGATTGATTATCAAATATCAACTCAATCAACTCAATCAAATTTGCAAACCCTCGATCGTTACGATTGATCACGATTGATTAACACATATCTATTCAATCAACTCAATAAAAATTGCAAACTTTCGATTTATACGATTGATTACCAAATATCAACTGAATTAACTGAATTAAATTTGAAAACCCCCGATCGTTACGACAGATACGATTGATCATGATTGAAAATTAAATATCAACTCTATCAAAGCAATTAAAAATTGCTAACCCGCGATTGTTACGATAGATACGATTGATTTACAAATACCAACTCAATCAACTCAGTAAAAACGTGCAAACCCTCGATCGTTATGATAAATACGATTGAACGCGATTTTTCAACAAATGTCAACTCAATCACCTCAATAAAAAGCGCAAACCCTCGATAGTTACGATAGATTCGATTGAACAAGATTGATTAACAAGTATTAACTCAGTCAACTCAATCAAAATGTTGGTAACACAATTTAGTTTTACAATTTTACTAACAAATATTTCTTTCCTGTACCTTTTTCGAAAATGTATTACAATATTCATTTGTCTTCACATAACCTTTGAATTGAAACTGATCGTAATGTTGGTACTTTAATAAGAAGAAAGCAATGGTATTTTTTTTTGTGATTTAAGGGCATACGATACAGTTACAGGGGAGGTAATGACATTGCTAACGTAATATGTTATTTTTCGCGACGTCAAATGGCGACATATGGGGAAAAGATGCATTTTTTTTTATTAATTTATTTCCTTTTTTTTTGTGTTCTATTATTTTAATTTTTTCTCTCTCTACTACTTTTTTGCCACTTAATTTTTCTGTCCAATTTATACAAATGTTGAAATAATATGTAATGTATGCATGCTCTTATATATTGTATTGTTAAATATGTTAAATGGAGAAGACTTCATAAGTCTGTTTGACTTGTGTCTCATCCAATTTGTGTTTATGCAAATAAAATATGTTTAAACTTAAACTAAGAATCCAGATGCATTTAATCATTAACTTGAAAACGAGTACATGGACCCTTCTTCTTAAAAAGGACATTCGATTTGATACTGTACGAAGATTATTCGTTCCAATTTTTATGAAAAAACAACGATGAACTTTTTTTAAATTAGATAAATATGTAGCAAAAAATACCGTCTTTTACAAAAATCATGAAATTTTAATAAAAATGAATTATTTTCAAAGAATTATTACACAAATTAAGAGCATGTATATATACCTTTGTAAAGCAAATATTCCAAATCTTTTTACAAAATTCTGCATGTGTTTATCTTTTGAAACAAAAAAGTTAAATATGTTAGTCCAAAGGATAGAAATTTCCAACAAACCGAAATTTTAAGAAAGTTTCTAAAATTTCGACCCCATTTATCTTTAGATTTAGCACTCGAAGGTATAATTCTTTTTTGAATTGAATTGAATTGACTAAGCAATGAATAGAATTAAAAGTTAAACTCCTTAATCATTATGAAAAATTATATAAATATAAATTTGAGAAAATAGATAATAGCAGTAAACTTCTATTATATAAAACATTAAAACAAAGTAATAAAATAGAAACATATCTGAATTCTAATATATTTGAAAATAGACGTAATATCACTTAATTAAGATTAAGTCATCATAATTTATTAATAGAAAAAGGGAGAAACCTAAAAATCCCTACGGAAAACCGGTTGTGTCAGTCCTGCAATACAATTGAGGATGAAAAACATTTTCTTTTGTATTGCAGGAAAAACGCTTCCATTAGACCAGTTTGTATTGAAAAATTAACAAAGGCTAAAAGTATAGAAATTTTAATAGCCTCAATGAAAATGAAAAAATGATAAATATTCTTTGCCCATCAACACAAAAACAGGTAGAAAGCATAGGTTCCTTTATAAAAAAGTCATTGGCACTAAGGATAGGGGACTCATATTTGAATTTTGAACTATTTTCATTAGTTTGTTTAATATGATTATACATGCTTTTTTTTGTCATTATGTTAATGTTGTTTTTGTCACAAATCGTATAAGTTGGTTAAAAATAAAAGTTTGATTGATTGATTGAGTAATTTATTCAAAAAGTCTATGCAATCGATTATCGAAAACTGTATATATATACGTGTTCCCTCTTGCGGCCAATAGCCTTTCGGATGAAACGCTTGATGTAGCGAGCGGAATATAACGACTGGTTTATTCTGTCGCTATTGGTTACATTTTTACTAGACGTGTAAATATTGTTTGTTCGTTTTCATCGTGACGGCCACTAATTTCTGTTGGCGTCCGTAAAACATCAAACAGATGATGAGTGAATTAGAGCTTGAAATTTGTATAGAACCCCGTCTATTGTTAAAAACTGTGTGTTAATTGCACTCTATATTTTGGTTTTTCTTGTCGTTGGTTTACTGTTAAACTGGCGTATATCCCTAATCTCCTTTTATTCATATTCAACTTTGTCGTTAGGAACACTTGGTTTTTGTTGCTTCCTTTTAAGCAACATTATGGATCGCAAACTCTGAAATATCCGAAAATCAACATGAAATAGTGAAAAATGGAGAGTACACAGTGAGAACAGTTATCTCATCTCTTTTTTGTAAAGTTTAATTCTTCAACGAGACTCAAAATGTTTTTTAAGTCGAGGTATGAAGCAGACACACTCTATATTGGTGGTATCTTTTATTTCAAGTTTAATGGGATAGATGCAATTATCAACCCGTACGAATAAATGGACAAGTCTACAAACAGAGGATCACATAATGTTCCCTTAGGAATGCATACGTCTTTACACTAAATCCATTGGGTGTTGGATGTGTACTGATTGATATTTTAGTCTTAGATGCATGTTTTTTTTATTAGTTGTTATTGGCTTAAACATTGTTAAACTAGCTGTCAGTAACTGCGAGTACTCCCAGATCTGTACTGACTTGGTTTCTTTCTTGTTGTGGGAGGTATACGTACCCTGCCACAACCGGTCTGTGTTTTTGTTAGATGTATTTCTGCTTTGTATCGATCGGATGAGCTAAGCCCTTTTCAACTGATTTTTATAGTTTGTTCCTATGTTTTACTGTTACACCACTGTCCCAGGTTCGGGGAGGGTTAGCGCCTTCAAACTAGTTTAACCCCGCCACATTCTGTATGTGCCTGTCCCAAGTCAGGAGCCTGTTATTCAGTAGTTGTCGTTTGTTGCTATATATCATATTTGTTTTTCGTTCTTTATTTTGTACACAAATCAGGCCGTTAGTTTTCTCGTTTGAAATTTTTTACATTTGTCATTTTGAGGCCATTTATAACTAACTATGCGATATGGGTTTTGCTCATTGTTGAAGGCCGTACGGTGACCTATTATTAATAATTTCTATGTCATTTGGTCTCTTCTGGAGAGTTGTCTCATTGGTAATGATACCACATCTTCTTATTTTTATATCTACTGATTAAGTTTATTTTCCAGTGAAACCGGTGCTGGAGTAGTCTAACATTGGATGCCACATACATTATTTGACATACCAATACTTCCGGACAACCTGATATTCCATTTCAAGAGGATTTAATGATTATTTAATTTTGAGTTTTAACTTACATGCATACTTTTTAGGGGTTCAGTCTTGTATCAATCATCCACATTTGTATCAATCATCCACATTTGCTCCTATTTAGTCGTGCAATCCACATACCCGTCAATGTGATCATATAGAAAATTATATTAGGTTCTAATGATATAGGACTTATATAGAGACTCGTGGTATTTTGGGTTAGAATTATGACATTGGTAATACGACAGCTTGTACTTTTCAAATTTGGAGCGATATAACTAAGAACATCGAAAATGCAGCAACTAGTAAGAACTGGTGCATGTATATTCTTGTTACACCTCCACTACACTATCTAATTAATTTTCATCATTAAAGCCAGCGGTGGATCAAGAGGGGAGCGAACACTTTTCAGTGCCAGTTTTAAGTACATTTTTCTGAATGTGTACTACTCTTTTTTTTTCAGATGGCCCCTGCGATCCTACTTTTTAACCTCCTTGGTTTACCTGGGTTATATTTTTATTGTAACTCATATCACCGCCAAGTTATACCAGCTACTAACACTACTAACAGCAACAACAATTAGTGCCATACCCCGGTATTGGTTTTTGTATTATTAATCTATTTATAGAATTTTCAATACAGAAATAACAGTGCTTGCACAACTGCAGAACATTGGGAAGAAGTGATACTTAATGTATTCAGTACCTTTCTCGACTTCTCAAATTAGATATTAAATTGAAATATTATATAGACATATATTTTGTAAAAGACCGTAGGCTTTTTGGCTTTTGCTGTCTAGTTGACGTATACTCAAATAGTCTTTTATTTATAGTTTAAGTGAAGTTTATTGTGATCTAGGTAGATTTGCTCAACTGGAGTATATGGATATGTAGCTGCTCACGGGTCAGAGTAAACGGATATGTAGCTCATCACGGGTCATTTAGTTGGAATAAAATATAATTGAGAGTGAATTTTCCCCTTAAGGATTGTATGTCTTAAAGATAAGTCAAACTTTTAACAGGTTGATGTGTATGTCTTAAAGATGAGTTAAAACTTTTAACAGGTTTATGTGTATGTCTTAAAGATGAGTTAAAACTTTTAACAGGTGGATGTGTATGTCTTAAAGATGAGTTAAAACTTTTAACAGGTTGATGTGTATGTCTTAAAGATGAGTTAAACTTTAAACAGGTTGATGTGTATGTCTTAAAGATGAGTTAAACTTTTAACAGGTTGATGTGTATGTCTCAAGTCATATTCGGTCAGTGATCGTCTTCAGTATTGTTTTTCCATAAAAGGAATATGTTTTATAAATTCAATCGTCCCTTCAACTTGTCTAAACTTGTGGAATGTAGTCTACACCGTATGTTTTTGGTATTTTTTTATGGTTGAAAACTCAAAATGTATCAGTCAATAGATGTTTATTTCTTCTGTGAGCTTGAGTTGGTTGATTGCTGTCTCATTGAACTTTTCCTGTATGGTGTCATTATAGTCACCAATGCACTACATTAACATGAGTTTAAGTGTTGTTTTTACCGCGAGTTTTTGGATGCATGATTTACAAAACGATTTTAGATAAATAACTATTATTATTAATATATGAAATTTAAAATTTACACTGAAGACTCGCTATCAGTATCACTCTTTTCGTTGTATGAATCAGTGTCATCAAAGTTTATTTTAGGACTAGCGATAACTTTTGTATTGGTTTCAGCGTCATAAAAGTTTATTTTGGGACTACTAATAACTTTGGAAAATCTTTGCTCTACCTCAGCATTTACGGCAGAACTAGATAACGCGGTATCTGTCTGTTTTTCATATTCACCGGGTTCGCTATTAGTATCCGAGATAGAAATGACATCGGACCCAACATCTGATTCCTCTGGTAACTCTTCAATATTTGTAATCAGCTGAGGATTTGCAGATGTATTGGTAACGTAGGACTCATGCATGAGTTCATCTGGATCTGATGAAACTGATATCAAGTCATCATTAGTGAGAACATCATATTCATCATCCATATCATCCATAGACGAGCCTAATTGCTTATTTTGAGATTGGTCCTCAGTATGGATTCCACCTGGCTTCGTCATTACTGTAAACGAATCGTAAGGAAATTCTGTTTGGTTCTGCTGAAATATTGGCGGCGGGGATGCTGGAATCGGAGGTGTCGGGTGATTTTCACTCATGTCAGATTTGTTTTCGCTGTCGCTGTCAACGTTTGATATCGAATGGTCTTCGAAAACATTATAACTATCATTTGAATTTTGTTCAAATGTTGGGGGAGGTTTTGTTAACGGTAATGGAGGTATTGAGGTGGCTTCAAAGGTGGAATCAGCATTTATATGTTCTTGCCTGCCATTGGAAAATGACGCAGATTCATCGCCTGAACTGGCATCTGCTACGTCTATTGGTGTCTCTGTCATAACAAAATCTGAAGAAATCATCGATTGAAAATTTTGTAAATCTGGAGGTTGTATATTTGGCAATGGCGGTATAGATGTTAGTTCTTTATTGTCATTTTCTTTGTTGCCGTGTTGTCCAATAGTCTCATTCATATTATTTAGATTTTCAAATTCATCCATAGAACCGTTTTCCGATGAATCAGAAGTACTAACCGATTTTACAATGGGTTCCCTGGAATCTTCTTGAGTATGCAAATATGTTTGATCGATACCTGTATCGTTAATCTTGGTAAATTCGTCCGATTTGTGACTATCTGTATCTTTTTCTGATTCGCTATCATCGGAAAAGATCCTAGATTTATTTTGATTCACGGCAATTTTCTCATGGACGTCCAATTGATCAGAAGCAATCGTTCTTTTTTCTTTATTTGCGCTAGCCATAACTACTGCACGTGATTCAGATTTGGCCAACGCTTGAAGCAATGAAGGCATTTCACTTACTTTGATGACTTTCTTAGTTTCAACAAAATCATTTTCATTGTTTTCCGACCGACGAATTCCAGAATTGTTTGAGTGTGTTTCAACAAAATTTTCATCTTTGACGTCAGACGAATTAATACTAGCAATGCTTTCCTCATCTGACCCAAGTATTTCGTTTTCCTCAAATGTAACCTTAACCTTTTTCTTCTTTCCTCCTTCATCAAATGAACCGTGAATTTCTTTGCCATCAATTTCGTCTAACTGTATTCCTTCAATATCGATGCCCTCTTCGATGATTTCATTGTTTTCTGATCTCATTTCAAAATTTTCGTAATCAGCATCCGAATTGTCTGAATTGTCAACCTGATCTGTTGTTTCAACGATGATTTTGGTTGCATTATTTGTGTCCGATTCATCAACAGTAACAATATCGTATTCGTCATTTTCATCTGACAACTTTTTTTCGGTTTTTATTGTTTCCATTTCCTCATAATTTTCTTCGTCATCTCTTGATTTCGTTTCCACGTAAGATTGGTCTGGTACCGAATTTTCTTTTCCTTTCTTACTTGAAATAGTAATGTTTTCATAAGTTCGTTCATCGTTGCTTTCATCATCGCTGGTGTGCAAATCGTTTTCACTTTCAACGCTTTCTACAGAAACTCGAGAAATATTCTTTCTCATATCAACATCTACTGATATTTTCTTCTTAGTTTTATTGCTTTCATTTGTGTTCTCGCTCTCTGAATCTGCCTCACTTAATGCTTCTTGTAAAAACGCAGACATGACTCTACTGTCTGTAGACTCCGTTGACATCACGGAAATTCTTTTCTTCGATCGTGGAGGTTTCTTTGGAACTTCGTTTATTTCTGTTAAAGACTCGGCATTTTCATAACTTGTACTAAAATTTACAGGCTGTAGATCTCTATATTCCATATCCAATGATGGGTTATCATGGCCACCATCTTGTTCACCACCTGAATACGGGGCATCATATGGAACACTCCTGACCAATGATAAGGTCGATGTCTTTTTGTTATACACCGGATTTTGAAATTTAGAAAAGTTTTTACCAAGAACCATACGAACGGGATATTTTCGCCTGTACCATTTATAAACTACAACTCCGATTAATGTCAAAATTAGAATAGGAACGACAACCCCGACTGCAATAGCGGCTGGAGATCCGCCTTTCTTGTTTTTCGGTAGTGCGGCGCCTATCTGCTTCGTTGTGTTTTCCGTTTCACTTGTAAAGTATGACTCTGTCGACAAAACCTGGTGATTAGTTATTGTATGTATGGTGTTGTGTTGACTTGCTTGAGCCTTATGACTGGTTACAGTTAGTTTATTGTCTGTTATTGTAATATATTGACCTGTTGTTGCTGTAAGATGTGATAATGTAACAGTACGTCCCTGCTTACTCGTTTGTGTTGTACTAGCAATTGTGTCTGTTTCGGTTGAACCCTTTGAGAGTATGGAGGTCGTCAGCTTTGTTGTCATTTTATTATTCTGTGCTGATGTGTTTTCAACTGAAATCTAAAAAACAAAATAGAAAATGTAAAGGGGCATTAACTACGAAATATAAAAAAAATATGATTTTTTTTGTTCAATCATTAATGAAAGTGAAATAGTGAATAATAATAATAATTCGCTTTTAGCATTCAGTTTGGTTCTATTTGGACAAAATAATCTAAGAAACATCGCTGATAAATTATTTACTTGCAAGTGAATAATTCGACCTCATTGAATCCGTATTCATATGACCTTTTGATTCGATCCACAAAAACTCATTCTTATACAGATAAAAACGATGATTAACATATTTATTTAACCTATAATATGAAATCAAACAGACCTAGAAAAATCCAATTGCACGTGTTCGCTATCTATTCATATCTATATTTATGTTTATATCGGGTTACATGACCGTCGGCAGTCTACGGAGGTCACCTCGATGGTTATCTAGATGGCGTTTAGACAAAAATACACACGAAATGTTGATATATAGTATCGAGTAAATTCATCGTAAATTGTTAACTTTAAACTTTTTAGAATTTGGTTATACGTTTTAGTATGTTATAAATCAAATATGAGAATTTGAGTGAAATAGGGGAACATGAATTTGACAGCTAATGTCCCTTTAATATTCATGAAATTTTCTAAAAGTTCATAGCTTCTTACTGTTAGAAACTATTGTCACACGAAGGATATGAGCAAAAATATAATCGCTTCATCTATATTAAATTGATCCTAAAATTATCAGAAACAACATTTATTTTGATGACAATTGGCCATGATTTATAATCAATTTTTAGTGCAATATACGTGATATAATGAGATAAAAAACTTTTTATTTTGCTATCCGTTTACCTTTATGCGAGCTATATGACAATTGAGTAACAACGCTTTCAATAGAAAATGAAATTTGTCAATCCAATGTACAATTTTCAATATTTTTGTTTTATTTGAAATATTTATCTTCTGTCTGTTCTATAATAATAAGCCTGTCGAGACTTCTGTCAATTCACATTTTAAGGGGAGGCCAGGGGGGTGTGTATTTGAAAATTATCACGATTTAGAAAATGTGGCATTTGAAGTTACAAGATTAAATTAACAGTATTTGGAATATTTCTGGTCATTAAACTTTTCTATTCAGTAAACGGTATACTATATTGTATAGACATTTGTCCATTGTTGAAAACCATTCGTTGACATACATGTCTGTTGGTGTTTTGTGTCGTTGTGTTGCCCTTTGATTGGAAAATATATGATTCTTTAGCATAAAATCGACCAAAAGATATTCGCCTTGCTCCGCTCGCCGGTATATATACCGTTTCCTTGAAGTACGCCCCCTTTCATAAATCATGGATCTGCCCCTGGGTGTTGACTCACTGACGTATAACCAAGACCTTCTTTTATTCACGGTTTTTCGTACAACATTTTTGTGGTTCTTTTTCTGTGTGTTTTCACTGATCGAAGTACTCTACTATACTCCTAGACCTGCATTAAAGAAATTTACAATGAATATCTGTTGTACTTTTATCTATTAATCTCTTTACTGGTTGATATGGCAAATACGGGTAGGCGTATAAATTATAGATATCTGTCTGCTATCTTTCATATCAAACATGAACGGATTGCTCCCTTATATTAAGTATATCTTGTTAAGTTCGAATCTGCCCATTCTTGTCAATATGGATTTTATCTAATGATTTTTTTGTAAATACAAGGAAGTGAGGTAAACGTCAATGAGACAGCAACCAAACAACACAAAGGATAAAGAGTTAAAGTCCCGTATTTATGGCACCTGTCTGTAGTCGAAAACTGTATGTTGGTGTAATGTGTGTCTTATGGTTTTTTGTGTAGTTGGGTTGCTGTCTCGTTGATATTTACCCAAGAAATCTTTTTATTCATATAAAATAGTTTCAGAGCATCTATTCCAAGATCGATAAAACTGTATGGACCAGTTACTGTTACAGACTGACAATTATGATGTATGTTTAGTTTTTTCATAGCTAAAAATGTTGGAATTATAATTTGTTTTGTCAGGTTAATGCATATTAAATGTTTTTTCGTGTTGTTACGAAATCAGTGTAATAATAAAACATGTTATGACTGATTTATTTTATCCGAAGTTAGTTTTTCAACCAGGCCTCGTCAAGTCAAAAGAAAAAAAACATTGAAATACCGCTAAACTGAACAGGTTAAATAAGAAAAAATACCGGGGCCAGGGAAAGGGGGAGTCAAGACGTATAAAATTTCCACTACGTTTTCTTTATGGAAAGCATAGCTGCACTAGCAATCAATTTCCACGTTAATGGATAAGATAATTAGTCCACATATATGTAATCAATATTTACCTGAGTAGTATTAACAACATCATCAACATCTCTCTTATCTCTGTCATTCCATGACATCAATGGAGAATCCTGGTTTCCATTGTCACTTAATGATAAATCCTTTGAACTTACTGTATGCCCAAGTTCATTGTCCACTGGAACATTACACTTACATTTCACACCGAGCCCATTTCCTCTACAGAACAATTTTATTCTATACTTTAGTAATCCCTTACTGAAAATCAAAGAGATGCAAGAACGGTTTAAATAAACTTCGATCGTGCTTTTTGTATTTTCCAAAAGAATTGTGTTTAATTTACTGGCTGTACTGGAGGAACGTGTGCAAACAAAATCCATCCAAACATTGCGATTAGTTCCATCACTGACACATTTGCATTTTAATGATTTAGTTGTTTTTATTTCATTTGAAGTTATGCATAAGCAATTATCTGTTATTTGGTTCCTGGTAATATTTTTATTCATGCATTGAAAACTGTAACAATCCTTACATCCATGGTTTTCAGATATAACTAAAGTCTTTAGAAACAAAAGAAACAACCATTTCGGGTTCATTTCTGAGGTTCGTCCAATTCATCAACCATCCTATGTACAGTATGCGCTGACGAGCAGTGTAAAGTTCGAATGATATCATGTTTAAAGTGATAATGTTAATTTTATTATCAATTAAGACCACATTTTACTTATATTTGGTGGTGTGTATACGCGCATGTATTCGGACGTAATGTAAGAAATAATTTGATTGCATATGGCACTTTTTCTACAACCTTATTGCAGTTTTCTTCTGACTCCTGTTTCCCTATAGACATCTGATTGTCCCATCACAGGTGACCATATTGCATATCGAATCCTAGTGGTATTTTTGTGTTATTTGTCATGTAGTCTAATTACGATGATAAATAATGTTTACTATATTTAGTTTGAAACATGCTGTGACAGAACAAATAACAAGCAACAACCAATCTGTCAAATTGGAATTGAAGATTGTTGTATATATGGGGCTAACATTCTGCCTTACAACAGGTTCACGTTATACACTATGGACTCCCGTAGAGTTGTTCAAGGTGTCCGAGAGGCATTCACTTGCGGAGACTTGAGCACTCTCCCTACACGAGGTGACGGATTAAGCGTCATCATTCTGACCATACATGGCTGTGTATTTGTATATCCCGCCCAGCCTGAACATGCATGAAATATTTGCCACTGGACGTTAAACAACCAACAATCAATCAATCAACCCCGCCCAGCCAAAACGAGCGCCTTTATTCATCATGCCCTTTTTAAATTGGACGACGCAAACCACCGTCTACAAGTAAAACATATCTTAAATAATTTGCACGGCCCAGCTACCAAGAAGATGCCCAATAACTTAACCAAGGACACAAAAAGACAGCACATAATTTGGAAAGCATGAACAAAAGGTACTCGTTACTATAGGAAACTCATTAGGTAACCAAAACAATTGTTTGAACACTGACGCAAAAGGAAAGAACAAAAACCCACTCAAAACAGGTTTCATGAAGTTTATCCATAAACATTTACTTGATACCAGCATTCATGATTTGTTGAAGGCCAGGTAATCTGTATCTGTATATGGTTACGTAGTGCATGAACCGTTCGCAGTTGTCTGAAAAGAGAGCAGCGAGATGTAATCCATCTGTTTGATGTCTCCGGAGAGCCCTCTGTTGTCTACTATCCTCCAGGTGGTTTCCCCACAGAGCCCCCTGTTGTCTACTATCTTCCAGGTGGTTTCCCCACAGAGCCATCTGCTGTCTACTATCCTCCAGGTGGTTTCCCCACAGAGCCCTCTGTGGTATACTATCCTCCAGGTGGTTTCTCCACAGAGCCCTCTGTATAATACTATCCTCCAGGTGGTTTCCCCACAGAGGCCTCTGTAGTCTACTATCCTCCAGGTGGTTTCTTCAGAGAGCCCTCTGTAGTATACTATCATCCAGGTGGTTTCTACACAGAACCCTCTGTAGTATACTATCCTCCAGGTGGTTTCCCCACAGAGCCCTCTGTATAATACTATCCTCTAGGTGGTTTCTCCGGAGAGCCCTCTGTAGTCTACTATCCTCCAGGTGGTTTCTCCAGAGAGCCCTCTGTAGTATACTATCCTCCAGGTGGTTTCTCCACAGAGCCCTCTGTAGTATACTATCCTCCAGGTGGTTTCCCCACAGAGCCATCTGTAGTATACTATCCTGCAGGTGGTTTCCCCACAGAGCCATCTGCTGTCTACTATCCTCCAGGTGGTTTCCCCACAGAGCCCGATGCTGTCTACTATCCTCCAGGTGGTTTCCCCACAGAGCCATCTGCTTGTCTACTATCCTCCAGGTGGTTTCCCCACAAAGCCATCTCATGGCTGTCTACTATCCTCCAGGTGGTTTCCCCAAAAGCCCTCTGCTGTCTACTATCCTCCAGATGGTTTCTCCAGAGAGCCCTCTGCTGTCTACGATCCTCCAGGTGGTTTCAATCTATTAGAGTTCTTGTATGCAATGCAAACAACGAGTGATTCTTTGTTTCGATTTGGTACTGAATAGTGTGACAAGCCTTCGAATGTTTTGTTTCTTGCCGTTCTACAATGTTTGAGCTTATATAGACACCAAAATATTTTTATATGATCTGTCTCTTATTCAAAATTGATCGTAAGTTTAGTAAAATGTTTTATTCTACAACCTTTTCGTTGTTGGGTTCTCGGGGAAAACACTGTTAGCTCTCAGACCACTTCTGAGTCACTTGTCTAATTTAATTGAGCAACCAACGACAACCACTGAATTACAGGCACCTGATCTGGGACAGAACCATAAAGAAAGTGGCGATTTTAAACATGTTTGTTACCACTCAATCCCTCCAAACGTAGGACGGTGGGTTATCAGCACAACATAATACCAGAAGTATTCGTTACCTATTTTTTGTTTTACTGTTGTTCATATAATAACATATTTTTTTAACAATTAATTATTCCGGGCCGAAGGCATTTATTGTTGAATTTTATTATTATTTTTTGATGATGTTGTACCCTTTTAGACTTGTAAAAATTATATTTTGTAGTGTACTGTATCATAATTATATGATCCATTGCCCCGTAAGATTTATCGTTGGCTATTATTCAATCATTTAATATTCCTGGATTAATATATATCGTAGCCTAGCTGTATACATTACAATGTGTTTATTCCAATTAACGTCCTTCAGGGAGGCAATGACAAAGATACAATCATAATTCAGTTATACAAACAATACAGTAAAAGAATACAATAGAAATCCTTGTTTATTTTTTTTTCTAAATTATTTTTTTCATTGTGTTTTACATTTTCGCACGCAATCTAATTAAAATTTTATTAAAGCAGCAACCAAGCATAAAAAAGAGCGACTGCGAGGATTTTATTTTATTGATATTTTTGTTGATATTGTATTACTTGCTTGGTCTTATCTTGAGTAATCTCAGTTTGGTCTATCGTCTAAAAAGTGGGCGCGTTTTTGTCTATGAATTTTTAAAACTACCACCAAATTACTACATGTATGCGCATGACAGAAACTCATGATTTAACTTCCTGTAATTTGAAAACAAAAACATCATGTTTTTTAACTTCTAAAACATGCCGAAGCAGGTGAACACAGCTAATCTTACTCAATACTTACACAAACATTCACAATTTAGAACATGTTTACTTTAAATGATCGAACCGAATCTTCCTTCCCTAGAAAATAAAATCGGTGTCAGAAGAGAATTTTGAGAAAAAAAGGAGAGGAGGCTGAAAGTATAGATTATAACATGCCCTTTCCATATTGGCCCTGGTATCATCCCGAGACTCCCATATCGGCCAGAGGCTTTAGCAGTGCCAATATGGAAAAGACATGTTATAATCTATTTATCACATATTTAAGTTCTGCAGAAAAAAGAAAAAAATGTTCAATTATAACAATTTAATGAAACATAACAGGTAAAATCTTAAACGTTTTATCACAAAAGTGTTATCAATAGACCACTTTCGAGTTCATCCTTCACCGGAAAAAACTCGTCAATTATGCGCGCCTTTATGATGTCATTTACCAGATAGAGGGGATCGCCTGTATCCCTGCACTATTAACGTTCATCAAGCGTCTTAGTGATCGTCATTGTGCAGGATAAACTAGAAATAATGTTTGTTTTGTAAGTACTTAATCACAATTCCCTAATGACAGTAGTGCTGATTGTCAATTATGAGAATTTAATTTGCCGAATAATTCGTGCAATATAGCATTATAGTTTTCCAGCCACTTGCTCAACATTGGAACGGAAGTGACGATGCCCCTAAACGCACGAATGATGTTCACTAAAACCAGAGTTTTTGACGGAAATGCATCGAACTCGAAAGTTGTCTATTGTTGTTGAGGATGCAATGACGTCACGTCATTTGGAGACAGGGCACAATAACCAATAACCTCTTAATTGCCCAGTGCAATTTTGAGGTTATTACATATGCAAAACCCAACGTATTCGTAACAAATATGTGATAAAATATGCTACAATGTCACTGATCAGTATGGCACCTGGGGAATGTGTTTGTGTAATGAAGGGGGCCTACCATAAAACCTTAGTTGGTGATTATAGTGTTTTTCAATACACAAGATTCATCTTCAGCTGGTATGCTTTCACAAGTTCCAGTTGTACAGTAAATTATACTCCACCCATGGCATAATCTGGAAAAAGAAATATCTATATACATCCTAAATTAAAAAATATCATAAGGACATAAGAGCTACTGTTCCGCAGATAACCTTTGGTAACAACATAGACAACTTTCAAATGTGTGCACTTTCCCATGAATTTCCTATGTCACTATGCTTATGGGCCTAACTTATGCTATTATGTCACAGTAAGAGCCGATTGTTCGATGACATCATTTAAGCTGATTGACCTCAGGTCTACACATGTAATCATTCAAAAAAATAACTCTTAGTTTATGGGACTCTTGACACATTTGGCCTTCATTCTACTACATGTGTACAGTAATTGAGCTAACTTAGGACAGTCATAAATCTTCTTTGTCAGGAGAGGCACCCATACTCTTCACAAAGTCAAGAAGCATACAATATCAAACGTCTAACCCTTAGTAAACTCCTTTTCTCTCTTTTAATTCACCTCATGGTTTTCAGTGTAAGTGTCCAAAATTACCACTGTATCAGAGTTCTTAACTTAACCTTTATACAGTCAATAATCACTCTTTGGATTTGGATCTGGGTATAAAGATAATTAAGATAGGATATAATTGCCAGTTTTTTATTGTTGATTATTCTGTTTAACTTCCTACATTTTAGTCTTCAATTTGAAGTTTTAAACAAATGAATGTTTTATTTAGATTTGTACTTTACATTACACATTTACATTTGTCATTTTACGTTGCACACATTTGTTATTTTACATTACACATTTACATTTTAGGACCCCATTGGAGATTTGTGGGCAGAGAATGCATTACATAGAGTTGTAACAGTAGGTCAGAATGTCTATCTCAGAGCTGCTTCAAGGAAGGTTGATTGGCCCGAAAATAAACCAAGTTGTCACAGACCTATTGAGGTAAAAAGTGTAACAAAAAAAATGTTTGTCTTTTTTCATACCTTTATGTTTTCAGAGGAGCAGGATATTGGTTTTTTGTACAGGATGTATCTTGTTGAGTTTGCCTGAAAAACACAGAATGTATTACATATTAAGCAGTCTAATATTTCATCAACAACTCCTCTACCTTTTGGGAATATTTTGAATTGAAAGCAGAACATTGGACATTTTTACAAAAGTGTTTCACTTCATAATGATAAAATCTACAAACACATGACAAAATGAAATTATGGACATTTTCTTCTTGCAATTCAACTTGTTTCAAAGGACGGTATAGTTGATTAGCCTACATTTAAGGAAAATAACACATTCATAATTGATTACATGTTTCAAAGAAATTTGCTTAAAGTAAGTTAATCCTGCATTGACTTGATTTTGTAGGAATCGTCCTCATACACCAGTATAGATGACGCCTTTAGTACTATCATACAATTCATGTCACAAACCTCAAGGCAGTGTAAGGTGAGTCATACACCAGTATAGATGATGCCTTTAGTAATATCATACAATTCATGTCACAAACCTCAAGGCAGTGTAAGGTGAGTCATCATTTTTCTCTTCTTTCTTTTGAGACCATGCTTAAATGATTATAAATACATCATCATAGTTTTAAATGGAAGAACCAAAATAAGTATGTTTTTGGTATAAACCTAAAAATGGTTTCATCTTGCCGCAATGACTTTAGTGAGATCATTTATTTATGAAATTTGTTACAAAATGTATATTGTCCTGTTTAAGAATGTATGCATTTAAGGGTTTGATGCTATGTTCTCTGAAAACTGGAAAAGGAATGAAATTTTATTTCAGTTGACAGCTTGTTTGTGGACAAGAAATACCATTCAAAGGTGTGCAATTAATCAGAAGTTGCTTAAAAATGTTCAAAGAAATAGAATGAGTCTGATTAGTACCTTTGAGTATGTTTTTACATTTTTGGTAATTTTGTAGTGTAAATTAAAACTCAATGTGACCATTTTCAATTATCTATGGGTTAAATTCAACCATTATATGCTTTAATACCACACATATATATATATACATTTATTTCAAAATTGAACAGTGTCAGGTGTAACATTGAATGTTTCCTAGATGACATTTACTTTAAGAATTTCTCAATACAATGACAAGAATTACAATTTTAAGTATACTTTCTACCACTTAAGAACAGTCTTAAACATTATATTCTGTTTTAGTAAGTATATCTATGTAATAGGACTTGATTTACACTAGAATTTCCTCAGAGGTTGCAAATTAATAGGTTTGCAAGATGAAAAATAAATTGAATGTCTCTATCAAAATATTTATATATATTTTATATTTGCTATCCACTCACCAACCCAACCCATATACTTACCATGCATACTGGTTGTGTCATTGTGACTAATCTCTATATGATACATTATTTTAGATTTCATTTTCAGAGATGCTATGATACCAGATATTCCTTATATATATATATATGGTACATGTACTGAGATGATTTTTAGTCCCCTACCAACAAAGTCGAAGGGGACTTTAGGTTTGCACTCCGTCCGTCCGTCTGTCTGTCTGTCCTTCTGTCAGTCCGGCAAATCAGCTTTCCACACTTTTTAGCTCACCTGGCCCGAAGGGCCAAGTGAGCTTTTCTCATCACTTGGCGTCCGTCGTCGTCCGTCGTCGGCGTAAACTTTTTACATTTTGAACTTCTTCTAGAGAACCACTGAATGGAATGAAACCAAACATGGCATGAATGTTCCTTATGAGGTGCTGACCAAGTGTTGTTACTTTGTAGCCGATCCATCATCCAAGATGGCCGCCAGCGGGGGACTTAGTTTAACATAGGACCCTATGGGAAATGCATACAAATGACTTCTTTTAGAGAACCACTGAATGGAATGAAACCAAACATGGCATGAATGTTTCTTATGAGGTGCTGACCGAGTGTTGTTACTTTGAAGCCGATCCATAATCCAAGATGGCAGCCAGCGGGGGACTTAGTTTAACATAGGACCCTATGGGAAATGCATACAAATGTCTTCTTTTAGAGAACCACTGAATGGAATGAAACAAAACATAGCATGAATGTTCATTAGGAGGTGCTGACCAAGTGTTGTTACTTTGTAGTTGATCCATCATCCAAGATGGCTGCCAGCAGGGGACTTAGTTTAACATAGGACCCTATGGGAAATGCATACAAATGACTTCTTTTAGAGAACCACTGAATGGAATGAAACAAAACATAGCATGAATGTTCCTTACAAGGTGCTGACCAAGTGTTGTTACTTTGTAGCCATTCCATCATCCAAAATGGCCGCCAGCGAGGGACATAGTTTAACATAGGACCCTATGGGAAAGGCATACAAATGACTTCTTTTAGAGAACCACTGAATGGAATGAAACAAAACATAGCATGAATGTTCATTAGGAGGTGCTGACCAAGTGTTGTTACTTTGTAGCCGATCCATCATCCAAGATGGCCGCCAGCGGGGGACTTAGTTTAACATAGGACCCTATGGGAAATGCATACAAATGACTTCTTTTAGAGAACCACTGAATGGAATGAAACAAAACATAGCATGAATGTTACTTACAAGGTGCTGACCAAGTGTTGTTACTTTGTAGCCGTTCCATCATCCAAAATGGCCGCCAGTGAGGGACTTAGTTTAACATAGGACCCTATGAGAAATACATACAAATGTCTTCTTTTAGAGAACCACTGAATGGAATGAAACCAAACATGGCAAGAATGTTCCTTATGAGGTGCTGACCAAGTGTTGTTACTTTGAAGCCGATCCATCATCCAAGATGGCAACCAGCGGGGGACTTAGTTTAACATAGGATCATATGGGAAATACATACAAATGTTTTCTTTTAGAGAACCACTGAATGCAATGAAACCAAACATGGCATGAATGTTCCTTATGAGGTGCTGACCGAGTGTTGTTACTTTGAAGCCGATCCATAATCCAAGATGGCCGCCAGCGGGGGACTTAGTTTAACATGGGACCCTATGGGAAATACATACAAACGTCTTCTTTTAGAGAACCACTGAATGGAATGAAACCAAACATGGCAAGAATGTTCCTTATGAGGTGCTGACCAAGTGTTGTTACTTTGAAGCCGATCCATCATCCAAGATGGCAGCCAGCGGGGGACTTAGTTTAACATAGGATCCTATGGGAAATACATACAAATGTTTTCTTTTAGAGAACCACTGAATGGAATGAAACCAAACATGGCATGAATGTTCCTTATGAGGTGCTGACCAAGTGTTGTTACTATGAAGCCGATCCATAATCTAAGATGGCCGCCAGCGGAGGACTTAGTTTAACATAGGACCCTATGAGAAATACGTACAAATGTTTTCTTTTAGAGAACCATTGAATGGAATGAAACCAAACATGGCATGCATGTTCCTTTTGAGGTGCTGACCAAGTGTTGTTACTTTGAAGCTGATCCTTCATCTATGATGGCTGCCAGATGGGGACAATGTTTAACAAAGGACCCTATGGACAATACATACAAATGTCTTCTTTTAGAGAACCACATACTGAATGGATTGAACCAAACATGGCATGAATGTTCCTTATGAGGTGCTGACTAATTTTTGTTACTTTGAAGCTGATCCTTCATCCATGATGGCCGCCAATGGGGGGACTTGCTTTAACATAAGACCCTATGGGAAATACATACAAATGCTTCTTCTAGAGGTGCACTGAATGGAATGAAACCAAAACATGGCATAAATGTTTCTTATGAGGTGCTGATTAAGTGTTGCTACTTTGTTGCTGATTTACTGTTCAAGATGGCCACCAGGATTTTTTATTAAATTACAGGACCAATATTAAACCAAATTTGGCCTCACTCATTATTAGGGTATCTGTTATGATTTTAATCTATTTTTACATGATTTCCAAAACCAAAGTAGAATCAGGTGAGCGACACAGGCTCTTGAGAGCCTCTAGTTTTCTTCATGCTTGAAGATATTGATTTGATATTTGGTATATTGTTTTATCATGACAAGTTACAGATCAAGTTCGAATTTTGTTCCAGTCTGATAATTTAGTCCAGACTTATGGACCATAACTCTGGACCATATCTAATGTTAGAGTACTATGTTAAACCATATTTTTTGTACAAAGGGAGATAACCTTTTTTAAAAGACATTCATTGTTAAATTATTTGAAGAATTTTTTAGCAGGTTTGTTTGTTATTTAGTATAAACTAATTTTCTGAATGCTATATATATATAAAGAAAAATTTATTAAGAGAAATCCTTTAATTAGATAATAATCTATTTTTATTAATGTATATATTTCAATACATTACATTGTGTAGATAAATGTTGTTGACATTTTATAGATAAGTTACAAATCTATATTAGTTTGTGACAAATGAAAGAAAAATATTTGAAACTATTAATTATATTTAATTATAATTTGAAAATAGATAAACACTGTATTACATCATATCTAATTTTAGAGAACTATTAAACATATCTAATGTTTTTTTTCACTCATATAATCAGTTTTCCACACTGTTTTTAGTCATGCTTGAAGATATTGACATGATATTTACTTTTTGTTTACACCATGACAAGTTATAGAACAAGTAAGCATTTTGTTCCAGTGAAACGAATTTTTACCCGGTAGGGGACTATGTATTGCCATGCAATACTCTCAGAATGCTTGTTCGTTTTGTTTTCAGAAATACTATGATACTAACAAACCAGTAAGAAATAGCTGTGATTCACAACACTGTAGAAGATTCCATAATCCAGGATATAGTGCAATACAGAACAGTAACCCTGTATGTCACAATAGGTTATAATGCTTACAGAAAGTGTACAGGAGTTAATAGTAAAATATAAAAAGTTTGGCAATAAAAAAAGATTTAAAGAATGGTAGCCATTTCATGTAATCATATCTTTTTTTCAGGCCAAATCTTTCAACATAATTATTAACTTAAATTTGAAACTTAGAAATTGAATCCTAGCAGTTCAAAAGGAGGACATATAAACTTAATCAATATGTACCAAACCATATTCAAAAAGTAAAAACACAAAAAAACTACATGAAAAACTAAAACTAAATCAACATGAATCTGAATAATGGAACTGATATTTTTGAAGTGTAAGCAGTTTGTATTCCACTAATGACACCGTTTGTTTCACATTAAAGTCAGGTGATAAAACTAGTTTTCAGATTAAAGTCATGAGGAATACCCCAGCAAAAGAATTATCATAGGCGGATCCAGGGGGGGGGGGGGGGGGGCCTGGGGGGCCCGGGCCCCCCTTATGTAGGAAAAATTTGGTTGATTATATAGGGAATCACTGAAGCATGACTGGAGCGGCCCCCCCTTATGAAAAGTTCTGGATCCGCCACTGATTATAGAGCATTTGAAGGAAGAACCCCAAATAGCCACAGAGTGTTTTTTGCTATATATATATATATATATATATATTTGGTCTTTTGGAAAATGTTGTTTGTGCTGTATTTAGACACCTCTACCAAGAAATTTGTTTTGCATGCACACGTATAAAAATTGCGGTTTTTATCCAACGCAATCATAGGTTTGAATGTTGTTTTCAATTTAGACTTGTATATATATATATATATATATATAAATACTTATTGTTGTATTATGTTATTGACCAAATAAATAAATTTGTGTTTATTTTTCAGCTGCAAAGAACAGAAGATGTACATGTAGTTGTTCAGCCTGGCACTTACTCTGTTACTGCAGGATGTTGGGGTCAAGGTCAACATCAAAAACATGTAGTGCATGTCAACAAAGGACAATCAGTTGACCTTGACTTTTGCTTGTGATAATATTTTCCTTATTTTTAGATATATTTTAAACCATTGTCTACAAGAAAGAAACTCTTTTCTCCCATTAGTACTATTTAATGGTAATATGAAATTTAAATCTTTAACGTTATGAACTGTTTGAAAATTGTGCTATGGTGGAAGGGTTTAACATTAGATATTCATTCAACGTACTCTCTAAAGCAAATAATCAATGCATTTTTATCTAAAATTCTTACTTGCAATATATGTGTGTTCATTCTTCTAGTCATATGGGTTTTGCACAACACTATAACACTACCAAAGTTTGTTTATTAGCTTTTACCAGTTAAACTAACTTGGAATGTTTATCTTCTCTGCGTTGAACCATATATTTTTTTATATGTATATAAATGTATGTGTTCAGTGAAAGGATAATCTTTTTGAAAAGTTTTATATATTTTATGTGGTTTTCAAGTTTATTGTTTTTATATACATTTAAATGAGATTGAAATAAAAACGTTTGTCTATTATTTGAATGTTATTTTTCAGTCCTTTGTTTATAGAATAAGTGTATTCTACAGACAAGGTGTGTAACCTTACACATTTCTAATTTACTTGTATCAAGATTAAAAGTGGGATGGTTAGGGGCTTAAAAAATAGTTAACACTGTCAAATATTCATGTGTTAGTCCCAAGTCAGGAACCTTGTTTTAGATTGACTTTTGTCAAATTTCAAGGTTTTTTTATCCTTTAGGGAATTTGTTGTGGCAGTCTCTGTTAAATTTTTTCACAACTGTTCTATATTTGGATCTTTTTTGATGAGTCTGCGACATTTATGTTGTAAAAGCGAGACATAGCAATCCTAGATTCCACCAACATTTAGGTTCAATCTGTGATTAAAGTTTTTTTAGATATCAATAACTTTGTCAAACCTACATGGAATTTTATGAAATTTGGACAGAAGCTTGTTTATGATCAAAATACAGTATCCAGAGCAAAATTTTTGAAATATTTATTTTTCATTTTTCTGTATTTTACTAATAAATGGACTTTAATAGTTTTTTTTACAGTTTACATTCAGACTCAGTCTGAGGTAAAAGTTTTAAAGTCATCAGTAACTTTGTCAAACCTTCATCGAATTTTATGAAATTTGGACAGAAGCTTGTTTAACCAACAGACAGTATCCAGAGCTAAATTATTAAAATATTTATTTTCCATTTTTGCTGTATTTTAATGATAAATGAACTTGGATTTTTTTTTTACAGTTAACAAGTAGATACACACTGGAGTCAAAGTTTGTTACACATCAATTACTTTGTCAAACATTCATAGAATTTTATGAAACTTTGGCAGAAGCTTTTTTATGATTAAGAAATTATGTCTGAAGCAAACTTTTGAAAATGTATTTTTTTTCATTTTCAGTATTTTTCTGATAGATGGACTTTGTTTCTTACAGTTAACATTTAGACAGTCTGGGATTAAATTTATTTGACATGATGAATTTGTAAACCTTCATGGATTGTTAACTTGGGCAGAAGCTAATCTTCAAAACCAAGAAATAGCCTCTTAAGAAAAAGCTTGAATTTTTGTTTTTAATTCTGTATTTTACTGATAAATGAACTCACTTTTTAAGTCAACATTAAACTTTTACACTGACAGCAGCAATCGCAGGCAAGACATAGAGATTACAATCCAGCGATGCGACAGTGTTAACTATTTGTATAAAGCATTATGTTTCAGAAGGTAGAAGACTTGGATGCTTCACACCTTGTTTCCAGCTGTCATATATGTCCATTGACCTTAACTCAATTTCATAGTTCAGAGACTGCTTTAAATAAAAATTCGAGTTTTTTTGCCATGTGAAGTACTCACATATTCTGAGTAACAGAATAACAATATTTTGTATTTGGGATTCTTGCAAAGTTTACATGTCTGCTAAAAGGGTTCACCTGACCTCCATTTAATTTCATGGATCAGTGATCAAGGTTGAGTTTCACTGTCAAAAGACGGTATCTCAGATACTATAAGCTATAGGTCAACTATATTTGGTGTGTAGACTGATTGCAAGGTGTACTTCATTTGCATCGTTCATTGATCAATGTTAATTTTTTGTTGTTTAGTCAGTTTCTTAGATACTAAAGGCAATAGATCAGCTGTATTTAGAGGAAAGAATTATAGTAAGGTGTACATGTCTGTCTTGCAGGTTTCATCTGACCTTGACCTTTTTTATGGTTCATTGGACAATGGTAAGTTTTTGTCTGGCCTGTGACAAGACATAGGGATTACAATCTGGCGGCAGAGGCAAAGGCGTAAACTATTTGTCTAAAGCTCTATATTTCAGAAGCTAGAACACTTGGATGCTTCATAGATATAAGAAGATGTGGTATGCGTGCAAATGAGACAACTCTCCATCCAAGTCAAAATCTATAAAAGTAAACCATTAAAGGTCAAAGTACGGTCTTCAACACGGAGCCTTGGCTCACACCAAACAGCAAGCTATAAAGGGCCCCAAAATTACTAGTGTAAAACCATTCAAACAGGAAAACCAATGATCTAATCTATATAAAAAACGAGAAACACTTATGAACCACATCAACAAACGACAACTACTGAACATCAGATTCCTGACTTAGGACAGGCGCAAACAATTGCAGCGGGTTTAAACGTTTTAATGGTACCAAACCTTCACCCTTTTTCCGAAACAATAGTGTAACATCACAACATAGAAAGACACACTATAAAATATCAACTGAAATAACTAACTCACTCAAAGGACATATTAACACCAGTGAACATACACTGAACAAATAATTTTGATGTATGCAGATACCTTATGTTATGAAGTTTCTGCCTGTTATGTGATCATTGTCCTTGACCTCATTTTCATGGTTCAGCCACCTTCTGTTTTTTTTAGAAAGTGAAATACTCTCTTATTATGAGTAATAGGATATATTTGGTATATAGGTTCCTTGCATGGTCTACATATCTGTCAGGTAGGGTTCATAGGACCTCAACCTTATTTTATTGATACATGATCAAGATTAAATTTATGTGGTTAAGTCCATACCTCAGATACTTTAAGCAGTAGGTCAACTATATCTGGTGTATGGAATGATTGTAAGGTGTACATATCTGACCGGTAGATTTCATCTGACCTTGACCTCAATAGGATGAAATTTGAAAAAAATAGGCAGGACAGGAGTTTTGAGAAAAAAAAAAGGCAGGATGAGATTATTTGCAAAAAAAAAAGGCAGGATGACAATTTATGTAACAATTTATGTAAAAAAAAAAGTCAGGATAAACTAAAAAAAAAAGGCAGGACCGAATAGAGTGAAAAATAAAAAGGCAGGACCGAATAGAGGGGAAATAAATGGGCAGGACAAAATTTTTCTTCCTAGCCCCCCCCCCCCCCCCCCCCCCCCCCCCCCCCCCCCCCCATAAAAATCAAATGGTAGCTCCCTTATGTGATACTTGTAGTAAAACCTTTATATTACAGACTTTCAACATGAATTCAATCATCAGTAAATTGGGCGAGACATTTCAGCGTGTCCACTCTTATTTCAATTTGGTCTATTTCACTTATAATATAAGCAAAAGGGCCACTACATTTGTTCTATGTAATGATTGTTAGGTGAACGTCTGTCGGGCAGATTTCACTTGACCTCAACCTCATTTTTCATGGTTTATTGGGCAGTGTTAAGAAGTTTTCATGGTTTATGTTTATCAGTTACTATAGGCAATAGGTCAACTATAATTGGTTTATGGAATGATCGTTAGATGAACATGTCTCAGTCTGTCTGGCAGGTTTCATCTGCCCTTGACCTCATTTTGATGATTCATTTGTCAATGTTAAGTTTTCAGGTTCTTATATACTACCGGTATAAGCAAAAAGTCTACCATATTTTTGTGTATGGAATGATTGCATGGTGTTAATGTTGTCTGGCAGGGTTAATTTGACCTTAACCTTATTTTTATGGTTTATTGGTCAATTCTCACAATTAGATCGGTTTCTCAGATACTGTAGGAAGCAATAGTACTCTGTATTCTACCCAAAGGGTGACTTGGGAAAAGAAATATGGTCTCCATTGGTCTTCCTCCGACCGGCAGTAAAACCATCGCCAAAGTGGGGCGTCCGTTTGGCTGTGCGGGATGTACAAGTTTGCAGCCACGTCCGGTCAGAATGGGGACGTTAACTCCGATGCCTCGTGTAAAGAGAGTGCCACGCTCTTTGTCCGTAAAGAACCCTTGCAACAACTCTTTGAAGGGTCCGTAGGTGGCCTGATGCAAGGCTAAATTTCTGTCCCTATCCAATATACCATCATGGTAGTCCAAATTTCCCAGACCTTCATCCCGGACGACTTATATTGCAGGACCTACCTATTGTATGTATTGTTATAGTAAATTTGTTCTCGTTCTAAATATGCATGAAATATTTGCCACTGGACGTTAAGCAACCAACAATCAATCAATCTATATTCCATGTATTGTATTTAATTCAAACATGGTCAGTAAAGCAGGCGAGATATTTCAGCATGTGCATTTTTGCATTATTATTTTTAGAGATTTCTGTATATTGTTGAAGACCTTAAGTTTTACCTCTAGATGTCCTTTATTTTTTTGTGCGTAGTTGCTGTCTCATTGACGTATTCCACACATCTTCGAAATCTACATCGCATTTGATTCCCTTATTGAGGGCATGAATTCTCCCTCAAATTGTTAAACCTGTGGTTCAGTATGTCACCATTACAATATTTTTTGTCGAGCCTGCGACTTCTGTTGCAGAAACTGAGACATAGTGATAGTGATCCGGCGGCGTTAACAAACTTCTTTAAAGCTTAATATTTCAGAAGGTAGGATATCTGGATCCTTCATACTTTGTATATAGATGCCTTATGTTATGAAGTTTCCGTCTGTCATATGTCCATGACCTTGACCTCGATCATTTTCATGGTCCAGCGACTATTGAAAAAAAAGTTTTTAGTATTCTTAATTTCTCTCTTATTATGAGTAATATAATAACTATATTTGGTATGTCATACCTTGCAAGGTCCTCATGCCTGTCAGACAGTTTTCGCCTGACCTTCATTGATCAGTGAACAAGGTTGTGTTTTTGTGGTCAAGTCCATATCTCAGATACTATAAGCAGTAGGTCTACTATATTTGGTGTATGGAATGATTGTAAGGTGTACATGTCCAACTGGCAAGTGTCATCTGACCTTGACCTCATTTTCATGGTCCAGTAGTTAAAATTAATTTTTTGTCTCGCCTGCGACGAAAGTCGCGGAAAGCGAGACATAGGGATTGCTTTTCCGGCGGTTACGGTGACAGCGTTAACAATTGTTAAGTTTTCTGCTTAAGTTTGTTTGATAGGAACTACTTGTGACAGATCATTGATATTTAATATAAAGTTGCATTACTATCAGGACATATCAGTTTGACAACTATTTTGAGGCCCTACCCCCTAGGACATGGTCCAGTGACTTTGAATTAATAAGTAATTTTCAATGTTAAGTTTTCTGCTTAACTTAGTT